ACTACTAGTAAGGCACTTGTTTCTACTAGCTTCTTGTTACTACTAGTGTGATGTGCGAGATTTCACCGAGGCGAGGCAGTTCGTTGCTCTATGGGGAGATGTTGCCCGATGGCGTCTCCAAGGCGCGTGACGACGCAGCGACGCTCAGCGAGACGAAACTCTTGTTGAAAGCCCGAGGCCCTGTCTCCCGAATTGTATAAGAAGGTGCCTACTTAGGGGAGACACGCCTAGCTACTTAAGCTACTAGTATGGACGCAGCTCACACTAGTGATTTGGCTCCTAGATGTTTAAACTGTTAGGGAAACTTAACTTAAGACACATGTAGAGCGTAGGGGAAAAGAAGATAAAAGAAAAGAAACGTGGAAAGGTCGAAAGCTCTGAATATACTGAGCAAGCAGTTAAGGACTGTAAAGGTGTATGATGAACAGTAGCTGTTTATTTGCAATCCTCGAAGCTTCAAAACATTATGACCATATTCTACCACCTGTTTATTCTGAGTCGATGTCACACTTGCAATGACTGCCCGGTCGTGCGTCCAGCGCACGGCGCCAGGCTTTGCATGTCTCCCGCCTCGGCGAAGCCTTGCGGGTGGGGATGCCATGATCGAAGCGTGACCGATACGCTTCTTGTTACTACTAGTAACAGGTGCCACGCTAGTAGTAACAAGTGCCTTACTAGTAGAAACAAAGTTCGCTATTAGAATTAAATTAAAGCTTCTTGTTACTAGAAGCGATGCACCTGTTACTACTAGCTTCTTGTTACTACTAGTAAGGCACTTGTTACTACTAGCGTGGCACCTGTTACTACTAGCTTCTTGTTAGCGTGACATTTGATTGACATTTGATTGAAGCATCCTTGCTCCTAGTAGCGATGCCAGGAGCCCCTAGTAGCGTCCTTACTGATTGCATACTGCATGACTGCCTTTTAAGTTCTTTTTCTTTTGGTTCTACTGGTAACAAAAGGACTCTACTAGGAACAAAGGGCATCGCTACGAACGGAGCAAGGCTACGAACGTAGCAAATAGCTTTAAGGTTATGGTATATACCAACGTAGCAAACGTGTAATTTCTCCTGTTGAACCTTTTTTCGAGTTTGTGGAATTTCACTGGATGTCTGTTGTTTCTGTATTACTGTACGCTATGGCTACTACGTTTGCTTTTTCGTCGCTTTGGAGTTTGATGTGAATGGAAGAACAAAGGTCTGAAGAGTGAAGAAAGAACATATAGAAGAGAAGGAACACCGAGAAATGGCACAGATATTTACAGAAGTTGATGTGATTCCATTGTATTTTTCTATGGGTGCTTACTTTGTTCATCCAAATCGTCAGGAAGGCTCCATGGTCTTGGAACTCGGTATGGGCAGGGGCACCAGAGGAAGCGCTTGGACTCTTGAGAGCACTGGAGAACATGTACGGTGATGCTGAGTAGTTTTGAGAGCCGCATCACTATGAGAGCCAACAACTTTTGGGCATACTTTGTCAATACTTCGTCCATGTTTGGAGCGCTTTATGCACAAAGTGCCTCGAGCCGTTTTCAGCAAAGTGTCCACACAGTTTCCAAGGCAGTGGAACGGTGGCCATGCAGATCTTCTTACAGAGCGCTTCAGTAAGGCGTCACGGCTGTCGTCCCAACGTGTGGGTCAGCAGAAGGAAACGGTCGGTCTTGTGAAGCATGGCAGCATGACACCTTGAAGGTCCCAGAGATCAAATTGAAGATCCCATCTCGTCATGTATGTATGCAATGTTAGAGCAATTCGAAAGGAATGTATCTTTCCCGAAGCTTTTTGTGTGTTCTCGAGTGTGTGTGTGTGTGTAACCCGCTCTTACACGCGGTTGACAAGTTTCTTTAAATTGTATCGACTCTTGAGAGCAGGGGGCTGGAGTGTGCTTCAGATGTCTCCAGCCAACGAAGACGCATCTGTTGCACTGTGATATAGTTCTGGGACGCCAGAACTACGTACCTGCTGAGTGATCACTTTCAAACTTCTGGGCCCTACTTGTTGCTAGAACAGCGACCTTTTTGGATTCGGTTCTGTTGACCTGGTCGACGGTGTCGCTGACTTAACTTGACCTGCGTTTTCTCAGCTTCAAGGACGTCTACTTAGGAGGTTCCAATTTCAAGACTCATTCACCAGTGTGCGTGTGTCTCTGCTTATTCAACTTGTTGATCATCAAATATGCAGCTACAACAGATATTTTGCTAGATTTGATCGACAAAGGCAGGTGGTGCCGGTGCGACTTTTGCAATATGTGCAACCATTATGCAACAGAGTTTAGTTCTTTGGAATTCTAGAATGAACTCTGCGTGGGTGGTTTGTGGCTTGAATTTTTGCACCTTTCTCGTGGACTTTAAATAACATGGCTGCCTTCTTGCATGCAAGCTGTCCGCTGTGGCGTTCTTTGCTCCTAGTAGTAGTGCCAGGAGCCCCTAGTGGCGTCCTTGCTCCTAGTAACGATGCCCTTTGCTACTAGTTACTAGTAGCGTTCTTTGCTACTAGGCAAGCTGCTTATTGCATAGAAATGCAAGACGGAACCTTGTGCCATCACTTGGCCCAGGAAAGTCGTGGGAGTTGAAATTGTACGCTCTCGATACATGATCGCAGAGGCCACCGATACCCACCACTTGCCTATTTTCATCACAGTTTGTTGTATAAGAAGATTGAGAACCCCCAAAACCCAGTCAGCTGTAGTTGTTTTCAATTGTTTAATTTGTAAATTCTCTGTGTGTGGTTGAGTTTACAATGCTCATGATTTTGTTTCTGCTGTTCTGATTCAACTAGCTGTGCGCAGGCTGCCTTACAACGGCTCGCCAACGAAGAACCCCACAGCTTTAGGCGAATATGATGTTTTTGCAGGTGGAAACCCAAGTATGGATATCCATGGATATCCACACATGCTCAGTTGTAGTAGATAGTGTGATCAATGTGTGCTCACAGAATTTCAGCCACACAGGCACAGTCTCCGCCTACACTGAATTCCACATCTACGCTTGAATCTGCTAGCATGTTTCGGGCCTCTCTGCGCGAAGGATCACAGAACACATCTCCGGCCAGAGGATCACCTTGGAGGAGGCGGGATGAGCCGTGGGGCCTCACGGAGTTGTGCCGTTGAAGCGCAAGAAGAAATGCATGCAGATTTCTCACACATCGCTCTATATGGATGTACCTAGCACAAACGCAATTCAAGTATAGAGTCGAGGGAAACAGGTCAACTTTTGGTGGTGCCATGTGTTTGGCAGGCCACCACTGGCAGGAGCTTGCAGTGCCACTGCGCAGATTTCTTCTCGATGGGCCTTGAGCTCGTTCAGCACATGTTGTTCAGAGAAGATGGAAGGAGCAAGAGAGAGGCTTGATCGTGATAGATTGCTTGCAAGTCGCGGTGTATGCGACAGAGGCTTGGACTTGGTTCAGAACTGTGATGCTGATGCTGGCATGCTTGGGGAAAGGTGACAGAGCATGGCAAAACCAGTATCAGATACTCAGTTTCATCACAGTCCTGACGGGGGGAGGTTTGCAATCTGGTGAAACCAGACTAAGGAGAGGTTCATGGGGTCGCATGCTGTAAAGTCAGCAGTGTAGTCCGCTCACTTCTCTCTGTCGGACATGTTGTTTGAGTGTGGGATCGGTTCAATGTTTGTTCTTTTCGAGAAGATGAGGGCACAAAGCCAGAGCACTTCAGTGCCAGGTGATTTTCTTCGCTGTGAATATTCCCTGGAAGCTGTTCCAGCAGCTGTGCCAGAGGCTGCTTGGTGAAACTGATTTCGCATTGCATGTAGAGAGGTGGACTTGCAGAGTTATTTCTGGAAATCAGACCTTGATTTGGCTGTATGGTTTCCATCGGTTTCCAGTTCCTGTTCTAAGTTGCAGCAAGGTGTAGTTGTTGTGGGAGTCTCATTTGGTTTCTTTGTAGAGATTGTGCAGAAGCAAGATCACAGAATAAGGCTAATAAAGCCCCTTAAAGGCACTAAAACCTTGATATGTTTATTTTCCACGTCCGGTGGCTTTCACGCATGGGGGTCACCCTTGATGTGCCAAGGCTTACAGAAGTCAAGGAGGGATTGCGATCGATGAGCGTGTTGTTCACCTTTCTGATTGGTTCAGAAGTTTCACTGGAACATTTGGGTTTGGGAGTTGGTTTGTTATATAATTCATTTTATGCTCTTTGCCATTTGACACTGCATGCCACTGCGATTTCTTGCATGATTTCAACTGTGACAGTGACACCAATATGTGGAAAGCACTTCGATTGTTTCAGAAAGGAACAAAGAGATGCAACAGACACTTACCGGCATACCGGTCCCCTTTAAGATCATGACCCCGCCCTTGAAGGAGGCCAAAGAAGGGCCCTTGGCTTCCTTTGTTTTATCTATTAGTTTGAAGGCCATCTCTAGTAGGTTGGAGGCCATTACTATTGGGTTGCTCCCTGTCTCATGTGCATTTTCATGCAGCGCATTGCACATTGCAGGAAGGCTGTCGACTCTTTACCTATCATCGTCTTGACACCGTTTGGTGGACGGAAGACCCCTGCCCTTTCCATCAAGTGGAGGCGTGGAGGCAATAGAGATGGTAAAAGAGAGATGCAAAACGTGAGTCTACGGAATGTTTTGCATTACTCTAGAGGTCCAACCAAGACACACCACAGAGGCTCCTTTAAGGTCAACATTTGTAGTATTTGTTCAGACTCAAAGCAGGAACTAATATGAACTAACTATATTGGCAAACAGCCATAATCACAACCTAAACATTTGTCATAGAAACATTCGTTCAGATCGACCTTCCTCTTTTTTCAACCTTTGCACGTGTCAGCGGGGACAGATTGCCAGACTATGAAAGAAGCACCGTCCATTTTTAGGACCGGATTCAAGTCAAGTGAAGGAAGGTCGACCTTGGTTTATGTGAATGGTCCATGCCATCGAATCATTGTCCTACCAACCTTGATATAGTCTCATATAGATACGAGACCCAAGACAGCATATGTCACGTCGTATGGCATGGCTGCATTGGTTTCAGGTGAATATTCCGGAGACCGACACATTTTCCACCTCGTGGTCACCCCACGGGTTCAGGCGAAGCGGCGCGAAGCGGCGCGAAGCCGCGCGAAGTTCGTCGACACACCGGCGGCCCGCAGGTTTTACGTGTACATTTGCGATCGCAAGCGTGAGTCCAGCATCAAGGCAGGGAGATTCGAAACAGGTGGGCTCAGGCTCAGACTCTCTGAGCGCAGATCTTGGAAATGTTTGATAAAATGACTATGACTATTCGGTGGAAGATGCATGAAGATGCTACTTTACATTCTTGTCGTGACAGTTCTGATCCATGGTTGTGATTCCTGTGTGAGGCTGACGTGCTCAACGAGACGTTTTCGGAGTGGCAGGCGTTTGAGACACTATGCACACATGTCGAATGCTATTGACAGATTGCCATTACATTGCTCATGGACGCCTTAGGCTCCAGAGAGTGCAGATTTTGCGTAGCTTGAATGCTAGCTCCAACCTACTAGCGATGGCCGCCAACCTAATAGCTTGAATGGATGCCAGAACTTGCGCTGCTTGCGTTGATGTGACTTAGTCTGCCATCCAAGCCTGCTTGTGTCCACGACCTGCCAATCACTACACACATATATGATACTCTCATATATTGCTCGGATACCTGGAGCAGTAGATCGAGTCCATGGTGGGCCCGGTGGGTGTTCCTTGAGCACTTTCTGATGCTTTTCACACTCAAGACGCGCAGCCTGCGCGTAGCGTCTCACG